AGTTCAAGGCCAGCCTGAACTATATAGTGAGACTCGGTCTCAAAAAAAAAAAAAGAAAAAAAGAGAGAGAGAGACTGGAGCCAGTATTTGTTTCAGTGGCTACCTACTAAATACTAAGGGAACACCTTAGTGACATGACAGAGCAATGCACATTGCTGTAAGCAGATTTTTAATTATGACGGCACACCAAGTTTATTCATCTTTAGAAGAGCTTTCTTCTAATCTCCCTGTGACGGGTAGTATTCATAAAGCTAAGTGAAATTTGAAGGCACGCTAACGTTATTATTTTTGTCTTTTTGAGACAGGGTCTCATTATGCAGTCCAGGCTGACCTTGTGCTCACTTAATAGCCCAGGCAGGTCTCAAACTCAGTTTGATCCTCCTACCTCAGGCTCCCAGTGCTGGGATTACAGGCATGCACCACCACTTTATGATCCAATCAACTTCTAAAACGGCAAAACTATGATAGAGCTAAATACATAAAAACACAAATACCAGTAGAGTTCAAACAAACTTAATGCTAACTCTGAAATCTTTTTTTAAGGTACTAAGACAACATATTATATTTTGTCAGCAAAATAATTTTACATATTTTTCTTTTTATATTTTAAGCCTGCTTGCCATATTGATCAAATTCACTGTAGATAATCTGTACCTGTTCATAGTAAGTACATGTGATTTTTCTCCACTGTCCTCCCCACCCCTCTTTAACACTTCATCCCCTCCCATTTACAAAAGGTTATATTTTGAATGCTGACTTTTTATCTTTATATTAGTCTGTTTGCCCTATTGATCGAATTCAGCATAGACAATTTGTACCTGTACATAGTGTATCTTATTTTTTCCTCACTGTCCTCCCATCCCTCCAACATTTTACCCCTGCCCATTTATACAACCTAAGGTTATATTTTGTGAGCAAAATAATTTCATGTATTTTTATCTTTGTTTGTCTGCCATTTTGATGAAATTGGAGTCTCACAAATGATCACTGATGTTGAACATGTTTTCATATTTATTTGCTGTTTGTACATCTTTATCTAAGAAGGTTCTATTTCACTAAGGTGTTCTTTGGATTGGGTCTTTACATTTGGGGGGTCTGATTTGAATTCTTTATGCATATTCTAGGTATTAGTCCTCTGTCTGAGAAGAAGCTGATAAAAATTGTTTTCCATTCTGTGAGTTGTCTGTTCACTCTACTGGAGGTTTCTTCTGCTGTGCAAACACTTTTTAGTAAGATGAGATCCTGGCTGCTGATCTTTGGGGCAGTCCCTATTGGACTGGGGTTTTGTTTATGAATCTTTGCCTACTCCTACATTTTCTAAAACTTTACCCTTTTTATCTTCCAGCCGATTTAGTGTCTGTTTTAATATTTAGACTTCTGATCCATTTCTACTTTAGTTCAGACGTGGGTCTAGGTTCAGTCTTCGACATGTGGAAAGCCAGTTTTCCCAGCACTATTAACAAACCTATCTTCCCTCCAACTGAAAGTGCTTGCCCACTCTGTCAAAGATAAGGTAGCTGAGTGTGCTTAGACTTGTTTCTGCAATCTCACTGATCAAGTCTAGTTTTCTGTTTTTTGTCAATACTATGCTGCTTTAATCACTGTAGCTTTGTAGCATAATTTCAAGTCAGGGATCATGATGTACTACTCTGCCTTGCTCTTGTTGTCAAGAATGTTACATTTTGCAAAGGACTACTGTATTTACTATTTTGTTCGATTCTCACTATGTAAATTGTAAGTAGGGCAGGTATTTGTCAAATTACTCTTAGTTTACAAATAAGCACACTAGGGGGCTGGGGATTTAGCTCAGTGGCATAAGCACCTGCCTTGCAAGCAGGCAGTCGTGGGTTCGATCCCTGGTACCGATAAAAAAAGGAAAAAGACAAAAAAAAATTTACAAAAAATTTAAAAAACAAAACAAAACAAAACAAATAAGCACACTAAAGCTCAAAAGTTAAAAATTTTCATGGTCTCTACATCTTCTAACTTGAACTACTCCTGTTATCACAGATGCTGCCAAAAATTTTATGTAAAAATTTTATGTTTCAAGTTGTTTAATAACAATTAATGATTGACCAAGAAAATCTAGAAAGTAATACAGAACACACAATGCGGGTTTTTTGAGTCAGGGTCTTACTATGTAATTTAGGCTGGCCTTAAAACTCCCAGTGATCCTCCTGCCTCAGCCTCCAAATGCTGGGATTATAGGCAAGAAAATGTTATAAGCCAGGTATCATGGCATATGCTTGACCTGATCTCCTATAAATTTTCTTTTCAGATAGGGTCTCATCATGTCATGCAGGCTTATATAGCCCAGACTGGACCCAAACTTACATCGAACCTCCTGCCTCAGCCTTCCAATTGCTGGGATTACAGGTGTGTACCACCACTCCTGGCCCTTGTAGTTGATACAAGACTCATGCTGAAAAGGTCTGGACTAGCTGTCTACCTGCTTGAGAGTACAGGAAGAAACTCTCAATCAGCACAAGAGGAAATAGCTACTTAGCACTGTTCTTGGCCTACAGAGCCAGATTCTTATCAAGGCCAAGACTTTGTACTGCCAACTCACAGCAACACAGGTCTGGAACCCACTTCAATGGGACTCTGCCCAACAGATGTCTTGAGAGACATTTGGATAACAATGTAGAGTTTAAAGGGTAGAGAAACTAAGGGCTGGAAACTTCAAGGCTCAGCGCAAATTCTAAGCTGGCCAGTACATACCATTATAATACAGCCTCATGTTACCAGCTAGAGAGACTAGGTTAAATGTCTCTACATGTCATGCTCCAATGGAATCTGAGAGAAAATAATGTAGGTTACTTCCAGGCCTGGCCCCAGGATCTTCTCACATATACTTCTCCTCCCCTCTCCCTACTCTCCATATAAACAAGAGAGGTCTTTACTGCCTAGCCATTATGAATGTCTAACTAGAGGTGGGTTTTCATTCACTAACTTACTCCAAGTAACCATACTAGTATAGTCGGCAACATACCAACTCAATCAGTTCCTGTCTCCTAAAAATTATGAATTCCTGCCAGAGATGCAAAAGCAAGACATCGCTGTGTTGCTCTGAAGAAAGACCCTGGTCATCGCAATTACTGTCTTCCTGCCGAGGGAAGAAGATAACATCAGTTCAGCACATTCTGATGGAACCCAAGCGGTAACTGATTTAGCTAATTAAATGGTTTCCTTATCATGAATTCCCATCACCTGAAGTCACATTACTTAAAATGAAGGATACAAAACTAAGACTAGTTTTCTACAAAAAAGGTATGTTCCAAATAGTCCATAAAGTAATTATAAATAGCATTAATTATGAACATAGTACAAAACAATGCAAAGGTCACAGTAAATTTAAAAGACAGTAAAACTTTAGCCTTCTTGCAGGGCATGGTGAACCATGCCTATAATCCTCACATGAGAATGAGACATTGACTGCAAACTTTAGCTCCACGTCAAAAACTGACTAACTTAGTGAGACCCTATCTCAAAATAAACTTTAAAAAGAATGTGGGAGATGTAGGATAGCAACAAGGTCCTGAGTTCAATTTCAAACGCTAGGGGAAAAACCAGGACTGGGGATGTAGGTCAGATGTGGAGCACTTGCCCAGCATGCACAAGTTCCTAGGTTGGAGCCCCAGTACTACAGAACAAACAAAAAACTTTATTACTCTAAAGGACTTAATTTAGATTTCATGTGTACCTATTATAGTAATATTTATCTGTTGTTAAAGTCCAGTGGAAAAAGTACAGAAGCACTAAACGGTGGTAACACTGAAGGTTATTTTCATAGCAATATAACTTAATGTAAACTTGTTTTTTTTCTCTAAAGCTGCACTATTACAGTATGATTCACGCTTCTTTATACCCTCTGGAATAGGCTGAATAACGGCCCCCCAAAATACCCACGTCCTGATACCTAGAACCTAAGGACATTTCAACATGTAACAAAAGGGGTGTTACAAATCTAATTAAGCACCCTTAGAGCAACTGTCCTTGAAGACTGGGCCTACACAGAACATAATGGCCCTATAAAAGTGATCAGAGGGGATCTGACTACAGAAGAGAAGGTGGCAGAAGCAGATACTGAAGGGCACTGAGGAAGACTCAGAAGGAACATTGTCAGCAACTAGAAAGTCAGACACAGTGGGAAATGGGTCTTCCTCTCAGAGCTTCCAAAAAAGATAATCAGGCCTGCAACACCTTAACTTTAACCCACTGAAAATGACTTCAGCCTTCTAACCTCCAAGCAAAGACAGATTAGCACTCATTTGCACATAATCCATCCTAAAATACTAGCAACCTGACAACATGAAGGTCATTCTGGTTCAGATATTTCTTGTTTTGGGGATCAAATAAGTGAAAATATAGAGAATTCAGTTAAAATGTGGTTCTTTCCAGCATTGTAGTGCAACCTCAAAAAAGCAATGTCTTAAGTTCTATTTATAAAGAGAAAGTCAAGATTTTAGGTTAAATCAAAGATACTACTCACAGCATCATGAATAAGGAGAAAAGAACTCAGAAAAGTAGTAATATGGGCTGATCTGCCTTTCCTTTATGCCGCCCGAACTGTCAAGGTGATACCTCAAATCTGACTCTTTTTCTGTTCACAAAAGGAAAACTGTCCTCATTCCTGCGCTAGTCAACTTAAGGGCCCTACAGGCTGAAGGGAAATTTCATACTAGTGTTACTGGGATTCACAATACCAGTTTCATTCTGTGTAGAAGTTCGAATGCCAGTACAGAAGTGGCAGGGGAAAAAAATGGGAACAACAACAGTCAGATGTAACTTGTATCAATAAATTATATTTTGGGCAAGGGATACAGCTCAGTGGTATAAGTTCTTGCCTAGCAAGCCCAAGGTTCTGAGTTTGATTCCCAGTATCAAACAAACAACCTTACATTTTATATTTTCTCACTTGATCATCACAGCTCTAAGTAGTAGTCAAGTCTGTAGTCACTAGCTCTGCAGTGCAGAATCTAAGCAATCTGATAACTTACCTAAGTAAATGCCTCCAACCCTGAAGTCTTCTCACTGGATCTTTCTATCTCCTGAACAGTAATCCACTTCCAAGTAAGTTGCATTCACTTTTTAAACAATTGTATCTTAGGAAACAAAATAGAAACGACATTTTACAATGCCATCTTTATTACAACTCCATGGAAACTGAATGCCAAGCTCAATGTGTCGGAGCACAAGACAACATCAGAGTAACTTAACCCATAGGTCCATTTCTTCTTAGGAAAACGAAAACACAAACATCACTCCCGTTCCAGGGAGACAAGCCACATCAATTCTGAGGTAAAAACCTAACTCAGGAAAGTGGCATTTAACTTAACCAAGTGGTACCATTTTATAAAAATAACAACAACTTAGAAAAATAGAACTTACCTCAACCCATCACCCTAACCCACTGTCCCCCCATGCGGTCACCCTTACCAACGTCTCCTAAGCCCAGAGACCCGTACCCATGAACACCCCCTGGTGACCGTCGCCGGAGGCAATAAAATCTCCTCCGTAAAGTCAGTCGCGAAGGTTACCGCGTTGGCTTGGCTAGGGATGTCCTCTGACCTAACACTCCCTACTTGCAGGGAGCCCCGGCACGTACTCCGTCCCCGGTGCTTCCCACCCCAGGAGTTCGGTGACTCCGGCTTCCTAAAAACAGAGTAGGCACCGCTGCCGTTCATCCCTCGCCCAACCCGGCCTTTGCGAGTACCTCGGCAACAACCCTCACTCTGAGCGGGAGGAAAAGCACGCCAGAGCCGCGACTGGAACCCCGCCCTCTACCTCTCCTTCGCGTTAAAGCGCTAAGACAAAGGCACAAGATTGGTCGGAAGCAAATATGCAGGCCGCACCGAGAGTAACGAAAGAGGAGGCAAGTTTAGGCGCCCAGAGCATGCCGGTAGGTGGCCTTACTAGCTCCTGATTGGACAACAGCAAAGATATCTGCGGATGCATTGAGCCAACTTCCTCGAAGCACCACACAGCACCGCCCTGTACGTTACGTATGTTGAAGTTTCAAGGATCCCATTGGTTGAGAAGAGCTCTCTGACTGCGTGACCAATAAAGGACAAGAATAAAGTGAGTTCCGCCTTTTCCTCTATGGACCGGATATTCCTGTTGTTTTCCGGCTACTTTTCGCTATTCTTGTACCTTCGAACGTTAGAAAGGTCGCGTACCGCTCCATTTGCTGGTCGAGAATTTTTGCGGTAACTAGAACGATTCTTCTGAGGATTTGAAATATGTTGGAACCCAAAAGCGACCCCCAAACACCACAGAGGTACAGAAAGCCTCGGAAACAGTTTAACGTGGAACCAGTTCTTCCCGCCCGCTGGTGGGAGTTCTCTGGCTGCTATTGGAGGACTGAGTTATCAATTTGAAGGTAGCCCCGTCTCAGCCCTGGGAGCTCTGGGATTTGTAGTCCGCGATTCCCGTTGTAGTGTAGCTGTTGCTTGTTGGGAACGTCTGCTGAGGTTTCTGGGGCTCTGGTCTCCGTTAAGCGTTTCAGAAACACTGGGGGGAAATGGAAAGATTTGGAGTGTGTTCGTAAAGGATGAATGTTAAGTGTCTCCAACAAACGTTCTATCGAATTCTGCAGCTGGCGCTCCGATAGGTGTTCGTGACCGCTGTTTCCAACATTCTTGCAGTCACAGTCAAGCGTCTTTCATACTCATTTTAGTGCCCATTTGAGGATATTTGAACAGAATTAAGAGTGATGCATAGTACGACACGGAGAGCAGCTGTTTACAAAAACCTAGTGTTGCTGGCACGGGAACCAGAAGTGGGTGCTATCCTGACAGAAGGGTGGCGCTGTAGTCAGGATGCCCAGCGTGACCGGCGCCGAGAGGACGCTCACCGTGTAATCAAAGACTAGCATAAAATCCCTTCTCAGTTGTTACTGAGACAATGTTTCCTTTGTGCCTTCAGCAAATGTAAAAAAATCAATTTCTAAATACCAAAAATTTCCTGAGATGTTCATTGTCACAAATTTTGACTTTTTTTTTTTCCTGTTTAATATGTAATGGGAACTGTTTGGTTTGTGTAAGAAAAAAACAAGCAAACAAAAATCCATGATTTGGGATATCTAAGAGTTCTATGGTTGGGTGTGGTGTTGCACAGCTGTAATCCCAGCTCTCAGGAGGTTAAGAGAGGAGGATCACCTTGAGTTCCAGGGCAGCCAGGTCTATATACTGAATTCAAGGCCAGCTTGAGATACATAGTGAGACCCTGTCTCAAAAAATAGAGTTCTATCTTTCTAAGTTACAAGTTAAGTACACTTTATAGGGCTATAAAAAAATTGCTTTTATTACTTATGCTTGAAATAAGTGCATTTTGTTTAAAAATCAATCTTAAAAATCTTTTCAAAATGATGAGATGTTTAAGACTAAATGAAACATTATAGATATAGTTCCTTAATATTACCAATAAAATGAAGTACTAAATTAGGTGTAACCAACTCTATGTTTCTCCTTTTAATATTCTCTTTGATGTACTAAGTAAAATGTGTGAATATAGTGATGATCACACAGGCAAAAAAAGCAGAATTATCTATTTTAATGCTTTTCATTAACTGGCATTTTAATGACATTTTCCTTTTGCCTTCTATTTTGTTTTGTTTTGATCTATTTTGTATCAGTGGTCTAGCTGGGATGTTAAATGTCATGTGACTAAGAATTAAAAAGAAACTATCAAAGTTTCCACGGAGGTTTAAGATACGAAGACTGTTCTGTGGTTAGCAGTGTTAATTGAGTGATAAGTCAATGGACTGAATTATGGGCAGTTTTGTCTGATCTGTATTAACCTAAATATAAGTTTTCATTCAGTAGACTTGTGGAAGTTTCCAGAGTGATCTCTTTCATTTCATGTGCAGGGTATTTGTATATGTATACAGACATTTTTGTTTTCTTTTTCTGTTGGATGCATACCAAAAGGTTAAATGGCTGATTCCTATGGTAACTATTAACATTTGGGGTGAGTGTGCTGAGGATTGATCCCAGGTCCCTGCCCATGCTAAACACAGTCTCTACCACTGAAATAGATACCCACTCCTAAATGTTCTCTTTCTCTCTCTTTTGGTATTGAGAACCAAACCCAAGTACACTCTACCACTGGTCCCCAGCCTCTTAAAATTTTTATTTTGAGATAGAGCCTCAAGAATTTACACAGGTGGGGCTCCAACTTGAGGTCTTCCTGCCTCAGGCTCCCCCCAGTGCTGGATTACAGGCTTGTGTCACCATACCCAGCTAAGTGTTCCATTTTAAAGACAAAGTACTTTAATTTATTGAGAATTTAAAAGTCCACATTGAAGCAGGCACAATTACTGCTTTTAATGCTATGAATGCCTAGGTAGACTTTTTTTTTTCCCCTTGAGATAGGGTCTCACTATGTGGTCCAAGCGTGCCTTCAACTCACTGTGTAGCCCAGGCTGGCCTCAAACTCACAGCAATCCTCCTGCCTCAGCCTCCTGAGTGCTGGGATTCAGACATGTACCACTATGCCCAGCTGCTGAGTCATTTTTATATCATCTATTGGGCAGTAATTTAAGGAAAGACCTCAGAGTGAAATAAATACAAAGTGACCCAAAATGGGAGGTGAGCATTAGAACACCTGTTAGTGTATACTTTTTAATATAAACTATTTTTGTTTTTTAAAAATCACACATAACAATATAAAGCTTTTAATATATGTATAAAGCATATTGGTAAATATAAATATGTCTACTGAGAGTCGTATAAGGAAAAAAATCTACTGAGGTTAATAAGTTTAGGACAAGACAACTGCAGTTTAAAATAAAAATCTTGGGGAAAGAGGTCACAGAAGAAGACATAGATGTTTTTATAATCATTTAATCAGAAGGAAAATTACTGGGACATAGTGATCTAGGCGTATAACTCCAGCATTCAGGAAGTTGAGGCAGGAGGACCACAAATTCAAGAACAGTCTCCATCATATAGTGAGATTTTTGTCTCAAAAAACAAAGCAAGAAACGCTGAATTTTCATTAGAAAGGAAAGAGGCTGAATGCTTGTTGGTTTTGGTTTTGGTTTTTGGCCCAGGCTGTTCCTGCCTCAGCCTCTCAGAGTGCTGGAGTCATTACTGGGTTTGGGGTGTTGGAGTCCCGTTCTGGAGGTGGTTTCTAGGTTCTTTCTGACCTGCACAAAGAACTGGTCAAGACAAGGACAAACTGTAGCGGAGTTTTACATGAATGACAGGATAATAAACAGGCTCTGCAGAGCAAAGATGGGCCAAGTAAAAGTGGAAAAATACTCCCCACAGCTCCTGCCCCTGGGGAGGGCTATGGTGTGAGGCAGGACACAGCGGCAGGCCTCATGCTCAGTGAGGACTGTCCTTTTGGTTTTTTTGTTTTTTTATTCGTACCGGGGATCAAACTCACAACCATGTGCTTGCAAGGCAGGCACTTATGCCGCTGAGCTAAATCCCCAGAACTACCCTTTTGTATCCCCTACTCCCCAGGTCGGCTCAGGTCCAGGCCATCTTATTGGAAAACCTGTGAGATCTCCCAGAAGCACAGTGGAGGCTTTGGGGCCTGCTCTGCACCTGTGTCCTGGGATTTTGTAATTAACAGGCCATGCCTACCTCCCCAGCCAGCCTGCTCTGCCCTGGACCTCAGGATTATAAGCATGTGCCACTGCACCTCAACTCTGAGTGCTGTTCTTAAATTGAACTTGTCAGTAAAGAGGTGCCAGAAGTTTTTGTTTGTTTTGAAAGCAGTTTTTATAGCTGGAGACTGAGGTAGGGAGCACTAAGCTACAGCCCCCAGCCCTTTTCATTTTATTGTGAGGTAGGTTGATAAATTGCCCAAGATGGTGTCAAACTCGTAATCTTTTTGCCTCAACCTCCCAAGTAGATGGGATTACAGATGTGGACTATGAAACCTGGCTCTCAAGTTTAAGAAACAATTTTAAACTGTAGTATAAAGGGTTTAAATCATAGTTTAAGAAACTATTTACGAGTACAAATCATATATGATATGCAACATAAACACCACAAAGAAAATATACAATATACAATAAAGCTTCAGTTGTACAGAGTGCTACTTGTAAGTTCTCGTGCTCAGTGACCGTGTCAGGGCTCAACCAGAGAACAGAACTAATAGAGATACTTGAAGAGCTTTTTCTTCCTGTGCGAAGAATTGCTCGCACAGTTGTTGGGGGCTGGTCAGGCAGGTCTGAAGTCTGTAGACCAAGCCATTGGGAAAGGCAGGCTGGAATTCTCAGGAAGAGTGCTGTCGTCCAAGAATTTCCTTGGCAAACCTGCTCAGCTCTAAGGGTCTTTCAACTGACTAAATCAGCCCCACTCAGACTATCTAGGATAATTTCCTGCACTTAGTCTATTCATTATGGAGGGGGGTGGGAGGTGGAGATTGAACCCATTCTCTTTTTTGTTGTTTTGGTTTGGTTTTGGTTTTAGTTTTTTTGAGACAGGGTCTCAAATTTGAGATCTTTCTTCCCCAACCTCCCAGAGTGCTGGGATTATAAGCATGTACCACCACACCAGGTCTAATTATGAAATCTTTTCACCTGTATAAAATACCTTCCCAGCAATACATGTCTTAGTGTATAAATAACAGAAGACTAAAATTTAGGTACATAGATAACTGCTTCTCAAGTTAAAAACTGATCATGACAACCACATCTGTATAACTTCAGATCAGTCATCCCAGCATGAGATTTGAGAGTCAAAATTTGTTCCAGAAAACTGTATTTGAGATTTGTTTGTTTGGTTTTTGTCTTTTTTCAGACAGTGTCTTGATGTGCATTCAGGCTGGCCTGGAGTGCACTTTGTAACCCAGGCTGGTCTCGAATTTGCAAGGGTCCTCCTACCTCAGCCTCCCACGTGCTGGGATTACAGAAGTGCGCCACCACTGCCAACTCTTGTATTTGAGATTTTGTCTTCCGTTCGTGGGAGTGGGTTAGTCTAAGCATATAAAGCATTCAGGCCAATACTATTTCTCCCTGTCTGGTAAAATAGTCTGAAAGGAACAGCCCTAGCTCGAAGTCCTCACCAGCCGTGGCTGTCTAACTCCTGCCTTGCTCACGTGACTGTCCTTGACACTGGCCTTTTGAAGACTCCAACTCTGGTCCTCAGCACCATATTCCTTTGCCATGCTGTGATGGTCTCCCATTGTGTAGAATGCCCACACCTATGCACACATGCCTCCATTGCGCAAGGAGTACCAGCTGCAGGCCCAGAGCTTTGGCGCTTCAGGAAATGTCGACAAGACGCCCTTGAAACCAGAGGCCCCGGGATGCTAGGGACAGCCTGTGACAGGTGCTGGCTGCTTTTATATAGTCTCTATTTACTGCCCTTTCCAGGTAGTGGTGGCTTTACTGCTTCAGTTTTAAGATGGACTTCACTACTGGCCCTTTTAGTTTATATAAACAGAAAGTTGGGGAACAGGTGGGACCAGTATTGGAACTGATAATTATGTTAATAGGAAATGCCAGCTACTTCCAGAAAACCTTCTCATTCAGCTACTTGAAAATGGTAATTGAGTGGCTTTGGCTTCACATTCTTTTCCTATCACTTTGAAGTAAAAGAATGAACAAATAGTAAAATAGCTTGAATGAGTGGATTTAGAAGAAAAAGGCCAGAGTACCTGACAAGTCAGGGTCCAGGGCTTCTAATCAAGAAGTAGGCCATCGTATCACCATGTGGGCCGAACTTGTAGTTCCACAAAGAATGAAGCTGGGAACCCAAGGAAGAGATTAGGTAGGAGGGACAAAGAAGGACTGCTGTGTACTAACAGGACACTGGGAAGTTGTCATGAACAGAAAGGGAAGGGGACAAAGAAGAAAAACAACAACACAGGGCATGATGCCAAGCTGACCATACCCAGGGTAAATACGCACAGTGTCCCACCTCGGGAGTGCCCAGGAGGTGAAGTTACATTACGCACTCTTTAATCTAAGTGGCAGACACTGCTCTCTGTAGCTTAGAAAATAAGCTGCAGGACGGCAAGGGCTCCATTTTGCTTACCATTATCTAGAATGTACCTGGGAGGTAACAGGTGGCAAATAACATGGGTTGACCTAATCGACTTCCATCAAAGAAGAGACATAGGTGGGGTGTGGTGGTGGGTGCCTGTAATCTCAGCTACTCAAGAGACTGAGGCAGGAGGACTGAAAGTACAAGGCCAGCCTGGCAACTCTTTGTCCTTTTGGTGCTGGAGACTGAATCCAGGGCCTCACAAGTACCAAGTAAGCTCTCTAGCACTGAGCTACAAAATCTCTTCCCATGATTTTGCTTTTTGAAAGAAAAAGCCTTGTATTTTTGCTGCTCATTTTGTTCTAAGTAATAAACAAGGGTGTTTTGTTGTGGTTATTGCTGTTTGTCTTTTTGAAACAAGGTCTCTCTATGCAGATCAGGCTGGACTTGAGCTCACTTTGTAGCCCAGGCTGGTCTGGAATTTGCAGTGATCCTCCTGCCTCACCCTCCTGAATGCTGGGATTACAGGTGTGTGCCATCACATCCAGCAATAAACAAGTTTTTGAAATATATTTTTTTAATGTGGGAGATTTCCTGAAAATTACTATGTTCTACAAATTTAGGTGATAACCGTTACCAAAAGTAATAAATTTTGTAGCATCAATCTATAATTATCATGTATCAATTTTTAATATTTAAACTTGAGGGTGGATAAATGAAAATTAATTAGATGAATATATTCATAGCAGAGACTATAATCTGCTTAATGTTCCTTTTATTTTCTCCCAAACCTAGGAATAACTTTTACTCCATAAGCTTGGCAGCAATCATCTGTAATCATTTGTAATCATCTGATTACAAATTTATTCAAGTTTCTGGTTCTCACTGTGTCTGTATCTTATCTCCATCATCAACAAGCAATTTTTAAACATGTTTGAAAGTGAAGAAAATATAGCTTTTGTTGCAACATGATTATTATTGCTCAGATATTAAAATCCTGGCAGTCACAATCAGATTCATCTTTACAGTTCTTGGGGCAACCTAGGATACTGTGGTAACTGGTAAAGAAATTTATTTAGCATAATGCTTAGAAAATTAAATCCAACCTCTTAATAAATACTTCTTCTGGGTAATATATGAAAGTCAAGAAAATGTGTAAATTCAGAAAGTAGACAATGAGTAAGGGTACTATTGGTATTCAAATATAGGGGCAAAAAACTCCAAAAAGCATACAAAAGAAATCAGAAGGCTTTCGCGTATCTTTTACAGCTCAGGTAAGTAGTTTTGTATTATACCATCACACACACCATGTAAAAATCACTTGAGATGGTGTGGAAGTGCACGCCTGTAATCCCAGCACTTGGGAGGCTGAGGCAGGATCGCTGTGGGTTCAAGGCCAGCATGGACTACATACTGAGATCTTGTCTCAAGGAAAACAACATAAAACACTTGAAAACAAAGAAAAATCTTAACATATCACATTAGTCAGAGTCTTATTTCATAGACATTTGTATTAACTGCATAGTAGTTTTCTTTTAAATACTTTTCTCTGCCTTTACCATTGTTCTGTTTCATTTATTCTCCCTTAATTGTACTTCTTGGCTCTTATATATTCCTGTTATTTTTAAGGTCATTTTCAACAGTGTCAGAGCCAGCAAACATACCCCTGTGCTTGTCACTCTGAGATAGGAGATCAGGGCTTGCCAAGCCGGCTGGGAAGTAGGCTGACCTGACTTGCTAGTTACCAGATCCTGGGATGGAACACTTCCCAGAGTCCAGCGTGGGGACTTCGCAGTGAACTGAGCAGGTTTTCTGCAGGATGGCCTGGACCTGGCATCACCCTGAGGCGTGGGACCCCAGCACTGCCTCTCTCCACCTGTATGTGGAAGTTCTCACTAGTTTTCTCAAGATTTGGATGGCATAAAATGACACAGACGTCAAGAACTTGCTAGTACAGCTTTCCTCACAGTAGCCTAGATTGTCCAGGGTCTACTTTTTTCTTGCTTTTTGCTTTTTTCTAGGCCCACAGCATTTTGCTTGTTTTGTTCAATTCTTTGTTCAAGATGAGAACATAGACTCCAACTCCAGAAGGACACACAAGTGCCACAAAACCAGTCCCACTTCCCCTTTCTGTTCACGACAACTTCCCCCACACCGAACTTCCCAGTGTCCTGTTAGTACACAGCAGTCCCTTTTTGTCTCCAGTTTTGCTCTCCACGATTTCAGTTACCGACACACTCGACCATGGTCCAAAAACATTACTTGGAAAACTCCAGAAATAGATATTTTTTAAACATAAGTTGTTAGGATTTTTTGGAATTATATTTTATTTACATTTTAAAAATAAGTAACTAGTATCTCTTTGTTCTTCCATCCCCCAGAACTTGGAAGGGTAAGAACAGGAACCTCAAACACCTACTCCGCACATACAAATACTTACCCTGCGGCTCACTCCAACATGTGAAAGGGAAGAGTCCTCTCCTCGGGGGGCCCAAGGCTGAGCCTAACAAGGAAAAAGAGGCAGAGGGGTAGGAAAGTAGTCCAGCTCCCCTCCTCTCTCCTTCCCTCTGTACCCTGTGCCTCAGCCTGTGGGGACACGGTTCTCCCTTCCTCCCCATCAACACCACACACCGTGCCGGAGGCTGCAGCCCTTAACAGTCAGGTCTCTAGACACAAAATGCTTTCACTTCATGGTTGCTTGAGGTCACCACCAGACAGGTTTCTTTGCTGAGGGCAAAGTCCAGGATCTTGCCAGTGTTGCCCTGGTAGGCAGGGAGCAAGCACCTCACCAGGAGGTGAATGACACCGGCCAGGCTTCAGGGGTAAATCATGGCAGTGCCAGCCTCCCACAATGCCTGAATACTGCAGAAGCCCACGGACAACACCCAGGTGGATTCACTCTCCTCTCCTTATCTGAGATTGAGCCAGGAGGCCACAGTCTGTGGTCTCAAAACACCCACCCCCGTGCCACTGCCGGCACTGACCAGCGAGGTCTGGCAGTCCAGGAAGCCAGTAAGGATCAGGCTGCCATCCTGATTGGTAGCAACACAGGTCAGAGGGCTTTGGTGACCCTCAGACCCTTTCAGACCATGATGGGGTTTCCCTGGTTGGGGTCCCAAATCCTGATGGTGGTGTCTTCACAGCCCACCACAGCTCTCTTCCCATTAATGAGGACACAACCGCTGGTGGCTGAGCAGTCAGGGCCCTCGAAGCTTTTGTAGTCACCATTGGGACCTTGTACACCTAGGTGTTGCCAGTAGGACAGGTGCCCAAGGGTGCCACTCTATCCACTATAGGCCCCTGCTTCAAAGTACCAGATGCCCTCCTTGGTAGCTACCTGCCACACTTTCAAAAGACCGCTCAAGTCCCCCATGGCCACCAGGTGAAACTGGCTGAAACCAGCACAAGTCACAGTCTTTATGTCCCACACACTCGAAGGGCAGCTGTCCAACACTGAGCCTCCACGCAAAGGCTTTGTCATGCTCCCCCGTCACTGCTGAGGTCTCTGTCCTGGGGCCCAGGCTCACATAAAACACCGGTATGGAGTGCAGTGCAGAGGTGACCTTGCTGTCACTGGGACCCTCTGTCCTGCTGACCACCCCTTGCTGGGGTTCCGGCACCCGACCCTCATCATTGTCTCTCCCCTTCCCTTTCTTCTCCTGTCCCTTCCTCTCCTTTTCCTTCTCTTCCCCTTCCCCCCCCCCTTCCCTCTCTCCCCCTCCTCCTCCTCTTTCTGATCTGGGGCGCCAAGATCCAGTTCTACCACCTTGATAATCTCATCACTTGGAAGCTCAGGGTCTCGGGCAGGGGGCATTTCAATCCCAGACCCGCTGTCCGATTTGGACTCCACGTGGTGCAACCAGTAGATCCACTTTTCTGGGCCCAAACGCCTCCCACAGTCAGCGCTGCACAATGATACAGCACTCGAACCCCAAACATAAATTTTCACAGGTGTATCGTTTCCAGGGTCGTGAATCCGACCTTTGGCAGTGGTCCAGACCATGCAGGCTGCCTC